CTTACCACCCCCCCCCCCCAACCACCATACTTCATTGAGTGAGCCCTAATAGAGCAGAAAAACCCGTTTTGAGCTTGTATGTGTGTTCTTAATCTTGAGGGTGCCTTCTTAAGGTGAAGAAGGATAAGAGGAAGCCATTGTTGGAGCTAGAAGTTGGAGAGTAAGAGTGGATTCGATTTCTATAGAGGTTGGAGCTCCTTTTGGGGTATAAGCTCAAAGCTTTCCTTGCATTTCATGAGTTTTGTTTATGAACGTGTTTTTTAGGGTTTTTGGTTCAAAGGTGGAGACTTTTTGTGCAAAGGGTCTCCATAAGCTTATATATGGCCTTTCCCAGTGTATTATGTGATAAAAGTTCATAAAAATCCAATCTTGGTCGTGGATGTTGAGTCATGCATAAGATATGGACTTAATATGGAAAGAGGAAAGGTGTTTTGAGGGTGTAAGGACCTTTACAGCCATGCAAAGGCATAAAGTGTGACATCCCCAATTTCACGGCCAGAAAAGACCGATTTGTTTATGCTTGTTTTTAAAATCAGAGTAATCTTTTAAAGAAAACAGTTGCGGAATTGGTTCTCAAAATATGATAAAGATTTATCAAAGCATTTCTTTAAAGAAATGTATTTTCATTATATAACAAAATATCGGGATGTCATGTTCCGATACAGACACATAATCATAAACAGAACATACATTCATTTACTCTGGTGATTTACATCTCCTTTAATCTCTCAGTGCAAGTAGCTTCGTATCCATACCAGTGATACAATTAAACTGAGTGGGTCAGGCTTGGGAGCCTGGTGAGCATATAGGGTTTTCAACCCACAATAATATAATTATTATATTTAATCATCAAACAATCAACCCAATTACCCATCCCCATTATCTTCTTTATTTCTTAAGGTTTTACCCTAACAATCACCAATCCTTTATTCATTCATTCCTAAATTTGACTTTAAGGAATAGACACAAATTCTACTGTTATGTAAGGCGCATCTACCAACTTTATCATTTAAGCGCCTCAGCCAGGATTACGACATTCACTATTAGGCGCATCTGCTGACCTTATCCTATAAGCGCATCTGCCAGGATTATCCTATAAGCGCATATGCTAGTATTATGACATTCTCTATTTGGTGCGTCTACCAATATTATTCTTAAGCGCATCTGCTAGTATTATGACATCTATATTTGGTGCATCTACCAATATTATTCTTAAGCGCATCTGCTAGTATTATGACATCTCTATTTGGCGCATCTTTCATACCTCCTCATTTTATCACATACCAACTATGTCATCTACCCATGTTCTACCCAACATATTCGCAGATATAAAATACATATACAGTTTAACTCATTTAAAAAACTATATAAAACGTCCATTCCACACTCATCTCAAATAAGCAAACAATGTATAAACACATAATACGTATTTCTTAGCAAATACTTCATATCTATACGTTAGAAGGAAGTAACCACACACTCACACATATAAACAACTTTATATTATACACATAACACATATTTCATAGCAAATACTTAATATTTATGTGTTAGAAGAAAGTGACCACACACTCACACATATAAACAACTATATATATACACATAGCACGTATTTTATAAAATACTTCATATCTATGTGTAAGACGAAAGTGACTATACACTCACTTGATCAGAAGATGATCGGACAGCACTACGACTTGTAGAAGTAGTATTCTTTGGTGAAACCGGGATCACTTCACACACCGGGTTTCTCGCGGGCAGAGCTTCGGCTCAGAAACTCTTTTCTTCTCGGGATCTTCGGGCTTCGGGACTTGCTTAGGGTCTCGGGGTTGATACCGGGGATTCAGGGGTACTTCTTTGCACGTAAATCGATATAATATGGGAGAGAGATGAGAGAATGAGCAACCAAACTCGGCTGACCCTTCAAATCTATTTATAGGGCAAAACTGGCATTTTCCACGTCGTGGAACCTTTTGCCATGTTGTGGGCTTGGTCTTCACTGCATGCGTCATTGCAAGTTGCATCTGGGGGACTCCCGGAGGTGTCAGGAGACTTGCCACGTCGTGGCACTGCTTGCTACGTTGTGGTCTCCAATAGTTTTGGGGTTTCGCGCCCCGAACTTCAGAAATTCATAACTTTCGCATACGAACTCCGTTTTCGACGTTCTTTATATCGACGCGAAGGTGAGATTATTCTCTACAATTCTCGTTTAGACTCCATTGGCTAATTTTGACTTTATTTTCAATATATTATAATTATATTACTTATATATTATTTTTAGTAGACCGAGATAGGAAAACTCCGTTCGAAATTCATAACTCCTTTATCTGAACTCCGTTTTCATCTGTCTTTTTATCGTTGTACTACTATTGAAGAAATATTCGACTCTCATTTAGATCACTAAGGATAGATATCTATCTACCTTAAATTCACTATTTACGTCGCGTTGGGTCGCGCTGGATCATGCCGGTTCTGTCGTGAAACTTCGACAGGTCATAACTTCTTCGTTATAACTCGGATTTTGGCGTTCTTTATATGCACGGAAACCTTGTGGCATATACTAAAACTTGGTTAAGATTAATCCTTATAAATAATCTTCCATCAAAAATTCATTTTTGATGCTTATCGTCTCTAAATTGACTAGCCCGGATCTACGGGCGTTACATAAAGGTTCCGACTTTATGGAATAAGAGGTTCTGAGGGAGTCAGATATAGAAGTTGGAGAAGTGGCTTAACCGTTTAAGACCAAAATCCATAAAGTAGCTGAACTGGGACTTACGCTGGGCGTAATCCCAGTACGCGCAACCTAAGGGGTCGCACACCCCGATTCTGTGAAGGCATCGGGTACGCCCACGTACATGCTTGGTACGCGCAGCGTAACCCCGAGGGTTGACTTTTGTCAACTTTTAGGGTTTGGTCAACTTTAGGGCATTTAAGCCATGAGAGGGGTAAAATGGTCTTTTACCCTACTAAGAATGATAGGAAAGGAAGGAGTCTAGCCTTTGGGAAATGTATTAATGTGAAGTGTTTGTTATGATTAGGCAGAGGCTAGACTCGATTCACAAAGTTCGAGATTATCGGAGATACCGAGGTGTGTCTTCTCACTATACTGTACCTGGAAGGGTACCTATGTGTGACCAGAAGGTCTTGTATGATATGATGTATGGGCTACATGCGGTTATGTGATATGTATGTGCCATGTATGTTATGTATGACGAGGACCGAAAGGTTAAAATGACATTTATGTGTTATGTATGATAAGGACCGGAAGGTCAAGACGATATGGACCGGAAGGTCAAGAGGGTACGGGCCGGAATGTCTACCGGAGTGCGGGATGGAAGTCCCCTGAGACACCTGGATCAGAAGTTCCCACAGAGTATGGCCTGGAAAGGCGTATGTGTGGTATGTGGTATTTTAGGGAACTCACTAAGCATTTTTGCTTACAGTGTTGTGTTATGTGTTTCAGGTACTAGTAATGATCGCGGGAAAGCACCGACTTGACTCGTACACACACCAATGGATTTGGATATGTTTTGATCTTGGGATGTAATGTTATGGATTGATATGTGACACAAAATATATTTTTATAACTATTATGAATGAAAGTGTGTTTTAAATGTGAAAAATTGTTTTGAAAATTTACATCATTATAGCGCTATGTTTTTCTTCCATGGCAGGTGGTAGTGTCCGACAGCGGTGGTGGTAGTCTTGTGATGGTGGTGGTGATATATATATATATATATATATATATATATATATATATATATATATATATATATAGAGAGAGAGAGAGAGAGAGAGAGAGAGAGATGGGATAAAATTCTCTAAGAGTAAGTCGTAAAGGGTGTAAGTTATAAGGAGGAGGGGTGGGTGGGTATGATTATTTTTGGATTTTTAATTAAAATAAATAGAAACTAATTAAAAGAAATTAAAAAAAATGTATCTAAGGGAAAATTCAATATTTTAAGTTGGGAATGGACCAAAACCATAAAAATTGCCAACCTTAGGGACTAAAATCAAACAAGGTATTCAAAATTGGACCAATGATACACCACCAAACTTTTTTAGACAAAAACCACATAATTTTAACAAACACATTGATATTTTTGTATAGGTTCATGTGAATATACATGTTGTCAACTGTTATATAAAAATATATCAATATTGGTCTTTAAACATAAAATGTTTAAAAGTATTTTTTTCTTATATACTTATTTATTTAGATATGAATAAAAACATTAAAAAAACAAAAGAAAGTAATTGTCAGCATAAATTAAGGAATGTATTAACATAAATTAAGAAATATTCAAAAAGAGTTGCATATTTTGGAGCTAAAAACATACTCCAGTTAAGAACATCAATAACATGAGCGATTTTGTTGGAACTTTTTAATGAAAAAAGATTAAAATAAAAAGCTTAGAGCAATTAAAATGTGATCTTTGTCAAACAAAAAAAACTATTGAAAAATAGAAGCAAAATGAAGAACATATTGAGAAAAATACAATAAATTTTTGTATTTTGAGTTATTTTTTTATTAAAAAGTACAAGTAAAAAAGCACCCTAATTATGGCTGCTTTTATTTTATCTCCATTATAAAAGAATTTTTTCAATTTGTTTGAGTGACTGTTGTATAAGTCATCTATATAAAGTTGGTTAAAAAATTATATGACCCACGAAATCATTAAAAAACTTCATAACAAGAGTTTATTAAGTAACAACTTTATAAAAAAACTTCTCAAACAGTTTTTCAAGTTTTATAATCATTTCGGAATAAACAACTCTTAAAATAACTCTCAAAAGTTCATATTATACATGCTCTAAGTACATTTATTTGTATTATAATAATTTATATTGTTGTTTTGTGAAGCTGATTTCCCCCTTATTATTACATTTATAGGGGATTTACATGTGTCCATAGTTTTTCTATTATTTATTATTATCCTCGTGATCTTGATGTTTTATATTCAATAAGCCCGATCTTATACTTCATAAATAAAGCTATGGTTTTTTATTTGAATATATATATATATATATATATATATATATATATATATATATATATATATTGATTTTTTTGATGAAAAAAAAAAAAACGTTTAGAAAGAATTTCAAGTGAAAAACAATCATTTTGTTGTTGTTATTGACGAATCCGTATCAAATAGTGGATTTCTTCCCGACAATTGTCCCCTTTTCTTCTTGCTTTTTGAATTAAGGCATAAAATTCAAATACAATTAAATATTTTAAAGAATATAATAAACAAATATATTAAAAATATTAAGGTTGAAAGTGACCGATAAAAACTGAATCCGCTGTTGGAACGGCCCACTGGAAAACCAAAACCATGGCCCCTGGTATTTCTTTCCCCCCCTCCATCCAAATCAACTCTTTATCTTTTCAACCAAAACAAAATCAACCTCTTTCTTTATCTTTGCTTTCATCCCATTAAAACCCTCTCCATCATCGTCACAATCACCTTGATCTTCATCTTCGTCTCCAGGTGCTGCATCGTCACATCCAAAAAGATGCAGTCTTTTCCTTGAAAATCATCACCACAAAGTACCATTTCATTTTTCTTTCTTTCTTTCTTTCTTCACTGATTCTGCTTTTTACTGTTTTTGTCCCCATCCTTTTTCTTTTCTTCATACCCAGATCGTATTTTTACTCCCTTTGGAAACTTATATCCGGTTACCAGTTAAAGAAGCTATCTTTTTTGTGGGGGGTTTTCAATTATCGATCAATAGTTGGTTTACCGCGTGTAACTTTGTGTTTTTTCTCTAGATTACATCAATCTGCCATTACAAGCTGCTATGTCTTAGTTCGCCATTTTCGCGAGTTTTTGAAGATACCCATATCGGATTTTACCAGTTAAGTTGCTGTGTTTTTTTCCCTGGGCATTAGATTATACATAAACAAAGGTGGTTTTAGTGCATGCGTGTAAGTTGGGTTGCCAAATGGGCATGGAGAAAGTTTCAGGTGAAAGAAAGAAAAGGAAAATGAGGCAGAAGAAAGTTACAGCAGTTCAGAAGCTTTATGATACGTGCACTGAGGTCTTCGCCGATTGTGGCCCTGGAGTTATCCCGAATGCTGAGGGCATCGAACGCCTAAAAGATATTTTAAGTAAGATTTTGATTACAATGGTTATGATTCTTGATTTTAATATATCGATATTCATACGCGTCTTTGCAGTTTAAGCATCTGGATCTGTTTGTGGGTATTTTTGAAAGTCCCTTTCTTGATTTTCTATTTATCGGTGCAATGAATGATCTTTATAGCGAATCCGAATGATCGAAAACGTATTTTGATCTGTAGGGTTGGTGTAGTTTGAATTTTGATTTTCCCATTTCAGGGTAGATTTAATTGACTACATCTTTCCGATGCGTTTTGTTCAATTTGATGTCTTGTAGCTTTAGGTTGTTTAGTTGCCGTTTTGAAATTAGTCCTATTTTGACCAATTGTTAAATAGGATAATTTTGAATTTCGATGATTGACAAATCTTTAAAGAGTTAAAAGATTTGTTAATTTTGCTATATATGTATATGCATATGTTGAATTTAGAAAGCATTAGTTAGAATCTAAAAAGTCTGAAGTCAATTCTGATTAAAGAAAGAAGTACAACCAAATGAAAATGATGGAAGATATAGAAACCTTTGATCCTCTGTACATATTTAAGCTAACAATCTTCTACTTTTAGTTTTTACTCATTGAATTTTCTTTATATTTAATTCAAAACGAATCAAACATTTGTCAAACAAAACGTTTTTCGAATGGTTACGTCTTTTTTATAAGATAAGTTCTCATTTATGAATGATGGCGTAACCCTAGCGGTGCCACCACCACGTAACCCTATTCGGTGAACCGTTTTGTCGTCTTTTGTTTGTTTAGTAAGTGTAGTTGATGAACATTAATGTTACTTTCTCCACATTTCTTAAAAATGTATAACCTTTTTTTATTAATAATTTATAGACATACATTGTTGATCATGCATCTCAAAACTTGAAAGAATGACACGATTATTTATTGTCTTCTTGATTTCATAATTGATACCCACATGAATAAATCGACAATTTCATCGCACCGTGGTTTAAGGTTTAAGATCTATATAATGTTTAAAACGTGTCGAACAAGTATTCGTAACTTATTTAAATGTGTCATGAGATTGTAGGGCAAAACCGTAAAATACGCAAACACATTACTTTTATTTTTTCATAAATAATTTATCGGTTGGATTTTTTTTTTTTTAGATGGGATGACTGAAGTTGATGTTGGTGTAAGGCCTAACATGCCCTATTTCAAGCTTAAAGAAATCGGAGGATTTCCTAAAATCACATACTTACACCTTTGTGAATGTGACAAATTTTCGGTATGTTTTCATCTTACTTAAAACTTATTAAATTTAAAAAAAAAAAAAAAGTGTTGAGTTTTACCATTTTGCCATGTCAGATTGGAATCTTCCTACTGCCTCCATCGGGTGTCCTCCCTCTCCATAACCATCCTCAGATGACTGTTTTCAGTAAGCTTCTGTTTGGAACCATGCATATAAAAGCATACGATTGGGTTGATGATGCTGCTTTAATCTCTACTCCTAAACCCGATTCTTCAGAAGGTGAGTTGTTAACCAGAAATAGCAACTTACTTTTATAGCATTGTATTTATTTATTTATTTTTTTAAAATCTTTCTTATTATAGAAAGAAATGAAAGTATTTTTGATTTATTAGGTGAAACAGGAGTTCGTTTGGCTAAACTGAAAGTCAACTCTGAATTCACTGCTCCATGCAACGCATCCATTCTGTATCCAACTGATGGTGGAAACATGCATTGTTTCACTGCAATGACGTCATGTGCAGTTCTTGATGTTCTGGGCCCACCATATTGTGATCCTGAAGGCAGACATTGCCAATACTATCGGGCTCATCCTTTTATGGATTTATCAGGTTCACTCACACCTGTCTTTCGTTATTTATCTTTAAAAAAAAAAAACTGCTAACGTGTTTTTTTTTTTTTTTTTTTTATATGTAAATGTAACAGATGATGAGAAAAAGTTACCAGAGGGAGAGAAGATAGAAAGCTATGCATGGCTGGAGGAGATAGATAAACCAAAAGGCTTGTCTGTGATTGGAGCAATGTATAGTGGGCCAAAAATCATCGAGAAATTAGCTTTTTAAAAATTCATGCACAAAACAGAAACTTTTGTCTTTTTTTTTTTTTTTTTTTTTGTTGGTTGGGTAAAGGTGGTTCTGGACTTATACCTTGAAGATGATGTATATAATTGAGCATAACCATAGAAAAGGAAAATGGTACACCTTAATTACTGAACTTGGAATGATGTTTTTAGGATCAGAAAAAAAAAAAAGCATAAAAGGAAATAGAAAGAGACATCAGATGATCAGTAAGTGTACTTTTTCTTGATATTATGGACAGACATGTTGGTGTTATAAATAGATCTTTTCATTTTCTTTTTCTACTTTAGGAGAGACAACTTGATATGGAGATCCATGTTTTGCAATAGCAGATGGATTATATATACGAGAAATCAAATATTCTCTAGTTTTCTTTCAAGAAATGATTAAAAAAGAGGATTAATGGATTTTATGTCGTTAAAAAAAGAGAATTAATGGATATTTTATGAGTAGAAAAATATATAAAAACAAAAGATAATTGGGTATTTAATTTAATTTCTTATTATATATCAATTGCCTTTTTTTTAATGATATTATCTGACTTTTTTGTTGCATATGAACCATATTTTTGAAAAGAGCGTTTTCGGATTGTGTTTTACAAATTGTATTTAACTTCGTTCTGTGTGCGGTTTTTTATTAAATATATTATATATCTGTGGTGGGTAAAAAGTAAGATATCTGCTGCCACTTGAACCGATTAACAAGGAAGCAAATTTGAAAGTGGTTTCGTGATTGATGTTTTGGATAAACCTTTGATGATGTGATGTGGTGTTGTGTTTACATTTTTTAAGGTTTTGAGTTTGAAATGAAAATGATAAAAGATTGTAAAAGATGCAATGATTTGTATTCATGCATATAATAATGGATTTGGTGTAAACAAGATCCCTTCATTGCACTTAGTGTAGACATCTGTATGATTTGTTTGCTTAAGCCATTAGTGCACATTTGAGTTGAGGGTCATTTTATATATATATATATATATATATATATATATATATATATATATATATATATATATATATATATATATATATATATATATATATATATATAAGATTGTAATAAGGCTAAAATTTCAATTTCCACCTAATCTATTTTATATATTAGTTAGAGAAAATAAATATCCCTCTACTTTTTCCTATGTTTTTTATTCATATTAAATAACGACATGTATAATCAATGACATGTGTAATCCATTAATTTTTTCTTTTAGGTTTAGAAGGAATGATATTACATTTGTTACAGTCCACATAGGCGCCACGTAAAATTTGTCACATTGGTTCAAAAATTTATCATATTGTGGACGTGGGTTGACATGCTTGCCGTGCTAATTTTAAAAAAATTAATTTATATAAAAAATAATCAATTTAAACAAAATATTTTTATAAAAAAAATCATTAACTTTGTTGAGTATCACCGACATTTTAATTAAAACAATAAAAAATAATGATTATATTTTATGAACTTCATAAAATAAAATTTATATTTCTGGGGTATAATAATAATTAACTTGTATAGAAGGAGTTTATTTGAATTGCTAAAGGGTATTAAATATCAAGGGAATAAATCAAATGTTAACTTTTATAAAGTTTAAGGGTAAATATAGTATTTCTCACTTTAAGTTTAGGGTATAAAGTGTAGCAAGAAAGAATTCCCAAGAACCATTATTGTGACTTCGAATTTGCTTACTCTTTCTCTCTCATCGGTAGCTGCCTGTGAGTTCATCCACCGAGCTCGACATACTGGGAAAGCGGGCCAGTGTTCGCCGAGCCAGGTAGGCGCTGCCGAGGAGGGCGTCGAACCCACTCCCTTTAGCCTTAATACTTCTATTGATTTTGATATTCGTCTTAATCTAGTGAATATGAACATGGATAAACACAAATGATCGAATCATAATAGTTCAAATGAGGGGAAAGGACACAAAAGGCCACTACAATGTTTCGTTGTTTGATTCGATAGTTCAAATGAGGGGAAAGGACACAAAAGGCCACTGCAATGTTTCGTTGTTTGATTCGGTCTCTAAAGTTATTTTGTTGCTTTATAAAGGCATAAAATGGATGTCTACCTATGTTTTTTAGTCATTGGTACCTAATATAACATGTTTCCTAAGCCATGTAGGCATTGTGACTTGTGGTAGCTTCCTTTATATCCATATGTCAATATACTAGTTTATAACTCGTGAGAACCATAGTTATAAAATTAATTGAACTTTCATATTAAAAAATCAAAATTATTAATCAATTATTTTAAATAAATTATTATTTAAGAGATAATTTTTTAGTAATATAAAATTATAATCGTTGGTTTATATAAATATGTGAAGTTATATCATCTTATAATCTGTATTAATTTATTTTAATTTTTTAATCTGATGTTATTAATTTAATATGAATAGAGTGAGTTTTTTTAAATGTAAATTTTAAATGGAAAATCAATTATTAATTAAATGTAATTAGAGTGGAAATTTTAAAATTTGAAATTTGAAATTTGAAATTGATAATTAGTAAGTTGACAAATGACATGATAAGTAACATACAATATTAATGAGGAGTTATAATAGTATGACACTTGTCAATAGAAGAAGAACCTTATTCATCTATTAGAATAGATTTGGTGTAAATAGTCCTGTATATTACGGGTGAGCATAGGCGGGTACCCGTCATATTTGACTGGAACCGGAACCGAAACCTGTGATATCGGTTCTTAAAATATTGAAACCGATGGGTAGCGGTTCCAAAACTGGGTACCCGGTTCGTTAGTTTTTTAGACTTTTGATATCTTAAAAAACCTATATATATTGCATACTTACAAAAAAATAATTATCAGTAAAATCAAACTAATCATTCATTAAGCATCAAGAAGTAAGAATCGAACAATAACTGAAGCATAACTCTAAAAAATATGCGTGACCCATTTAGATAGAAAATTAATCATGCAGACGTACTAATATTTTTTGTGTGCAAACATCAATTTGATATTAAATTTGAAACTAGCAATTACATCAAATTGAATATATTTGGTCTAAATAGTCCCTAAACAACTTTTGTTGCTTTACTCTCCATCACATATGCAACAAATATCAACAAGATATATGATAATTTTCGAACTAGGCTTAATAAACAAACAAATTGATGAACAATTATTCTCGATCACACTTTTGGTTGTTGTTAGCCTGCAACTCAATGGTAATACTAAATACTTTGTTGATTACTAAAGTTATCATCATCGCATCTTATTGTTAACAACTTAAACATGTACATTGAATGCATGTAAATTTTCAAAAGAAAAAACAAAGTTTGATTTAATAAAATGATTATGATTTTGAAGTATCAATATTATTTTTAATTTGATAGACGAAAAAAAAAGCAAAAAGAAAATTCCAATATGTAATACAATAGCTTCTTTAACATTTAACATTTGAAATCTTAAAAAGCCTTTGGTGCATTTGTATTTATTGGTGGATATTGAATAATTTTACTTTTTTTTTTTTTTACTTATATAAATTTTTTATATTTATAATAAACAAGATTATTTTGCTAAAATAATAAAATTTCAATGTTTTTGATAATTTTATGTTTTATCAATATTATTAAAATTATATGATTTGATTTTTAATTTGTTAAAAGTGTATGATTTTTAAATAATATATAAAATTTATAAACATGGTAAATCTACAATCAACTAAAGAATAATCCAAATATATATATATATATATATATATATATATATATATATATATATATATATATATATATCAAAATATATTGTAGTGTTTACATAGAAAAAAACCTATTGTTAACTTGATAATAGTATTTTTGATTAGTTATAATACAGGAAATAAACCTATGTTTAAAATCTTTATATGCTAAAAAAACATGACATTGATTTTAAGATAAGGTCGTAAAAAACGACTTTGTTGTACATGTATCAAATGCATAATAAATTAGGATTAGATGATCATTTTTGTAAATCATTCATTTTGATTTTTCATTGTCATTTTTAATTAAGGTTTCTATGGGTGTTGTAACCTAGTTGAAAAGAAAATTAAAATATATATATATATATATATATATATATATATATATATATATATATATATATATATATATATATATATATATATATATATATAGTGTAAAAATAATAATGATAGTAATGTAATACTATATTTAGTGTTATCCTATTCACCAATAATATATAATGTAGGTTTAGAGTAAAGTTGGAACATTTTAGTATAAAGATAAGGTTAATATAGAGTATAATATGGATTTGGAGATATTTTTTCACACACAGAAAAACGATTTTATGGTTTTCAAATTGTTTTTGTGTTATTATCTCAAATATATGTGAATATTATTATGCAATTTTATTCCCGTATAACTATGATTATACGTATAGTTATAAAATAATTTGAGATATTTTCGATGTACAAACATAGAGACAAAACAAATTGAAACCAGCTTACATATGACGCGTAACCTTTCTCTTTCCCCCTCCCTTTCCCTTTTGTTATCGAGAGTTGAGTTTTGGAAGGCGACGCACGGAGGGCAAAGGTTCCTCGATACCACCGCCGACGGCTGATCATCGTCTTCCGGTTCACTTCCGTCTTCAGCACCCCAACCTCTTCTCGTCCTATCTCCGAGGCTGCAAGTTTTCTCCATCACTTTATCCTTCCAATTGTCATGTAATTACGCTCATAAAACTTAATTAACGGAGACCTAGAATCAATTGATACGTTTAATATGTTAAATTGTTTCTCCTCGGTCGATTTTCGGTAAAAACCATGCTAGGTGCTGTGTAATCAAACTCATTTTATAGATCTAGGGTTTTAATACAAGTAGTTTGATCATCGTACTTGATTTTTTTTTTTTTCTTGTTAATTTTGTGCTTTCAAAGGATAAAACTCGTATGTGTTAGGTAGTTGATCGGCTCTGGTAGAATTCGATACTAATTGGCTTTATTGTTTGTTAAATTGGAGCAGCTGACAAAGATGTCAACACCAGCAAGAAAGAGATTAATGAGGGATTTTAAGAGGTTGCAGCAAGATCCTCCTGCTGGAATCAGTGGTGCCCCATATGATAACAATATAATGCTCTGGAATGCTGTAATATTTGGGTAGGTGAAAGTGTGCTTCAGTGTTTTTTGATCATACTCTAGTAGCGTATGATGCTATTTTTGCTTGAGATATGATTGCTTCTTACTGATCGCTTTTATTTGCATTGCAGTCCGGATGACACTCCTTGGGATGGAGGTAAATGAGATGTTTTGCATGTTTCAGTATCTTTATGCTCAAAATGAGATAAGAATCAACACTCATGGCTGTATAAAACCATAAATATGTATATGCATGTGAAAATAGTTGAATTTCTCACGGAAAAGAACAGCACAGAGGATTAGAAATGACTGCATTTGAGCTCTTCAGTTGTTTCTTCATTAATCATGTATAAGAGCCTGTTGCTAACCTCTTAATGGAACCATTCACATGTCACTTCTACTTCTGAATCTGCCTCTGAACGACCTTTGGACGTATTAAAAGCCTCTTAATGGTTAAGGAACCATACCCTCTCATAACCAATAAGAGGCTGGAATCATTCAACACTAAATAGTTCGGTTTTATCAAACAACCCCTAAGATGTTGGCCTCAAGTAACGATTCATAATGTTGCATTTGATCATATTTATACCTCATCTTTGAAGTCAGGGGTTTCTTCACTGGCTATTTGTAATATGAACAGGGATTTTGATTGCTTGTGAGGTGTTTGCTAGAGTTTGTAGACATTCTTAATTTCTTATATTATTCAGTTGATGGTGTTATCCTTTCTGAATTCTGCACAATTTTATCATATTGAAGTGTGACATTATGATATTCCATGACAATTTATACATGTAAGTATGTAACATGTCAATCTCTCAGGTACGTTCAAGCTGACACTTCAGTTTTCTGAAGATTATCCAAATAAACCACCAACAGTGCGATTCATTTCTCGAATGTTTCATCCAAACAGTAAGTGGTCATCATCAACTCAATTCAATTTTCTTTCATTTTCTTTTGTGGGGGATGGGATCAAAGCTTTGAAGCTTTGATTTAACACCCCTCAATTTTACTAACACTTATGCCACAAATTAAACACAAACATGTCATAAATACAACATTTCCAAATTAGAACCTAGGAATAATATATAACATTTCTCAAAAGCAAATCAACCATATGGTCTTTAAGCTTCTATATCATCTAAGTAAGGGGTTGTTTCTTGTTCCTTTTGACTTAATAGGTTAAGCATTTATTCTGGATAGCTATACATTGCTGTTTCTTTTGGACTTAATCTGTATAGAATGTCATAATGGGATATGATGTTGTTTGGTTGCATTTGATGTTGTAATGGGATATTTATCTCGCTTGAATAATTTTGCATGTTAATATTGTATTTCAAACATGAGAAGGATCAAATGGTCAATTACTCAAATTCAAAAAAAGAAATGCACTCTGTGTACACATCATTACCCATTCAGTCACTTTACCCCATACACGACTTGATGGGAAAACCAAAAAAAAAAAACCCTAAAAGTAAAACAAGTACAAGTATATTTTGCTTTCACATATTTGTGTTATTAATGATAAGGTTTTTGTTATCTACCAGTTTATGCTGATGGAAGTATATGCTTGGACATCCTTCAAAATCAGTGGAGTCCAATCTATGATGTTGCTGCTATTCTCACATCAATTCAGGTGCTGTATTATTATTGGCTTAATGTGTTAAGCACTTAATCTGGACAACTATACATGACTTTTTTTTTTTTTTTAAACTTAATCCGGACAGAATGACTCAATGTGTTAGAGCCAAAAGATGTGACTTAATGTATTAAGACACAGACCCTTTTTGTAGAAACTCAATTCGATGAGTTTTTTTTTTTGTGGAACGTAAGGACAAAATGGTCATTTAGTAGTGTAGAAAAGAAACAGACTTTAATTAGATAATCTGGATTGTTGGATTGTAGTCGTTGCTGTGTGATCCAAACCCAAACTCTCCAGCCAACTCAGAAGCAGCACGGCTGTTTAGTGAGAATAAGCGCGAGTATAACAGAAAAGTGAGGGAAGTTGTTGAGCAGAGCTGGACAGCTGACTAAGTCAAAAGTCAAAAGTCAAAGTCAAAGTCAACGACAATATCTGGTTTATGATCCCTTTGTGTTTGAGAACAAGTACCAAGTGATAAAGTAATAATGATGGGTGTTTTCTAAACTATCTTCATTTACAACAATTTGTAATTGTAGGGATCTTATAAGCTTCTGTTTTACTTTTGTTGCGTCACTATTACTATTAGACTCTTGTATTGTATACATAATACTTATCTCTTGTATTATATTTGCCTCCAGAAAAACAGTCTAGTAGTAGTTCCTAATGTGTTCATTTTTTTTTTCTTTCCATATTTTGTTTTTAGTTATTACAAGTTATCGACAAATGGCATAAGTTTTTGTTTTGTTTCTTTTTTGCTTGATAGTCTAAGTGGCTGATAGGTTAAACTTTAATTTGGACAACTATATATATGGTTATTCTTATTGACGTAATTTGGACCAACTGGCTTGATGGGCTAAGCAAAAACCTACCTTAATGTATGAAAATGATTGTTTTTTTTTTTTTTTTTAGTTCATATGCTATTTTTTTTAATCTAAATAAAATAAAGAGTAAATTACACGAATGGTCCCTATGGTTTAGGGTAATTTGCATGTTTGGTTCCTAATTTATTTTTTTAACCCGGAAGGTTCCTACAGTTTGTTTTTGTTATGTGTTTGGTACTTGTCTTACCTAAAAAGACTATTTTACCCTTGATTTTTTAATTTATTTAAATAAACACACCCCCACCTCTACCCCCTCACCTTACCTTACATACCCCACAATTTTTTCCTATTTAAATAATAGTTTTTTTTTATGTAAGATAGGGACCAAGAGTGTAATAAAAACAAACAATAGGGATCAAACGTGTAACAAAAACAAACAGTAAGAACTTTTTGAGTTAAAAAAATAAGTTAGGGATCAAACTCGCAAATTACCCCAAACCATAGGGACTATTCATGTAATTTACTCTAAAATAAAATAATATGAAATTATCATCGGTTATCAACCATACAAGTCGTTACCTTCGCCATCACTATCTATCCTTTTCAAAAACATATTCCAAAAATCAATAAAACACATGTTTCAATTCAAAACAAAATCAACAAATAGCAACAAAACAAACTGGAAAGAAAAACCACAAACCAATAAACAACAATCCAAAACATATCTGACAAATCAAATTGAAAAAGAATTACAATCGGAATGCTGCCAAGAAAGATAAACAAAATGTTCAGGGGCATTTCGGGGAAAACGCTCAAACTCTAAACATCAAAAAGGACTAGCCACATCTCTCTCTCTCTCTCTCTCTCTCTCTCTCTCTCTCTCCCCCCTCCTTTGTGAATGATGCTGAACTGCAGATAGATTCTGCAGCTAATGCTGATATTGTTTCTCCTGTTGATTTTTCTGAAGGTTATGGGAGGATGTTTGGTATTAACAACTCCGAAGAAGAGCTTGCTCACCCACCGGGATTTTCAAAACAAAGAATCTCTTTTATGGGTAATAATTAGAGTAATTCGAATGGTTCTTTTAATAATAATTCGTTTCTATTTGAGTTAAAGATAACTATTGAAACGGGAGAGGCATCGGGATATAATATCGAGTGTTGTTCGGACGGCTTTAAAGAAATTGTAGAAGGACGCCTGGAGAGACAATTTCCAATATGAATTGTCTTTCTATTACTAATGTTCAAGGAGGGGGTTCTCGGATAAAATTGTTGGTTTTAGTGTCACCATAACTGGAATTGACATGTGAGCTAAGGGGCTTCATAATTTGTACGCTAATATATGTCTGAGGTTGTGCAGAGTGCATGCATGTATAAGATTGAATTAGAAGTCGATTCGACGACTAGTCGGGGGTTCAGGGTTTTTAAAGGGGCAGCACCCCTTTAGCGGGGTCTAGGGGCAGCGCCCCTAGCGAGGTCCAAGGGGTAGTGCCCCTGGCTGGGGTCCCGCTTCCAAAGCAACTAATGACGACCCAACCCTAATGAAACCCTAATCAAGTTTAATATATAAACGGTTTCCTCTTCAAAAGAAGGTCACGAATTTTAGCTCTCGTTTTCATCAAATTCTCACAGAATCTCTATTGCCTTATGATTTCTGTACCTAGAATCGTAAGTGTCCACTTGGATAATCCTAGACTGAATTTCTTGCAACCCAGACATATGGTAGAAATATCAGTTCGGAAAGTATTCTCACGATCCATGTTGGTATCCAGATCTCCACTACAAACCCTAATATTTCTTATATAAATTGGATTAGAAACTTACTTAACATTCTTAAAGTCAATTTTCTAGTAATTCAAGAAACCAAGATGGAAGACATTAACTTGGCTACGGTTAGATCTTTTTGGGGTAACACCTTTTTTATGCATGCTTTTTTCTCCTTCATGTGGATCTTCGGATGGTATTCTAGCTATTTGGGATCCAAGTTGTATTTTTCAACAACGGGTGCTTGTTTGTAGTCCGATATATTGCTATAGAGGCGGTTTGGGTTTGTTTGGGATTGGATGTTTTATTTATTGTTGTTTATGCCCCGCAATCAGTTGACTATAAAAGATAACTGTGGGAAGTGATATCACATTTGATTGCTTGATTTCCGGAAGAGAGCATTATTATAGGTGGCTTTAATGAAGTTCGGATGGAATCAGAGAGATTAGGTTCTTCCTTTAACCATGTATCCGCACGTATTTTTAATGAATTCATTGAACATCTTGATTTTGTGAATATCACTAGTGGTCCTTATTTTACTTGAAGTGATAAATGGGGCTCAAAATTTAGCAAACTTGATAGATTTTTGGTTACGGATGGTCTATTACTTTCGATCCCTCACTTCTCGGGTCTAGTTTTGGAGAAAAAATCTCGGATTATCATTCTATTCTTCTGTTAGAGCATCGGGTTGATTATAGGTCTACCCCTTTTCGTTTATTTCACTCTTGGTTTGATATGGATGATTTTGATGATGTAGTGCAAGATTTTGGGCGATTTCTCTTGCAAATGATATTGTGCATAATCCATAATCATTGGATTCGTTTTAAGAAGAAACTTCAACTTCTTAAATCTAATATTAGGATGTGGAATTCTAACAAGCCGAATTTGGTGTTTGATAAGATGAAAAAAAATTCAAGAGTTGATTGAGTCTATTGATAACCAGTTGATGGAAAACGATGGCTCAGCTACATTAAGAGAGCAATAGGTTTCCTTATTGAAGGAGATGTCAGATTTGGATCACATTACTTACTAGGAGATGGCTCAGAAGGCGAAAATTCAATGGTGTATAACGGTGGATGAGAATTTGGGTTATTTTCATGGGGTCATTAATCACAAGAGACGTTAAATTGCAATTCGTGGTCTTATGATTGATGGTGTTTGGGTAAATAACCCACCTCAAGTTAAGCAAGAATTTCATGCCTATTATCAGTCTTTATTTTTGGAGCATCAGAGTTGGTGGCCCAAATTGATGCTTGTTACTATAATACAATTTGGGAGTTACAAATTGACTTTTTGCAATCTCCTTTTTACACGTGAGGAGATCAAAAAGATAGTATGAGATTGTGGTTCCACAAAGGCTCGAGGACAGCGATGGTTTTACTTTTTTGGATAATCTTTCAAAAACTATAATTTTTGATGATATGGTGTATAGAGTTTTTTCCTCGATAAGTAATAGATGTAGGAAAACCAATCTCAATTAGAGTTATTGGCTTTATAATCCTATATCTATTACAATTTGATGTAATTCTTTTCTAGCTTTTTGTTAGTTTTTTAATAATATATCTGTTGTTCAAAAAAAAAATCGGAAAAAACAAAAAGAAAAATATAGATAAAAAAAGAAAAAAAAACAAATGAAAAGATGACAAACTTTATAAGCTAAATGCTAGAGAGAAATGTCTTACAACTTTGTAAGCTATTTTTTACATCTTAGCACACAAAACAGAAGAAGATAAGCATTGTTTTGTCGTTTGACTTTTTATAAAGAAACAGTTGTTTTTCACATATTTCTGTCCTTCCCCTGAGTTCCACACATAGAAATGCTGTATAAGATATTTTTCTTTTAAAAAAGAAAACCCTACCACCTAACTTTCTAACAATTTGTAGTTATTTCTTTTCTCCCAAAACCTTTAACGTTATAGTTGATAGATCTTATGGAATTTGATTTTTTCTTTTTTATTTTAAAATGATTGTTTACTTTCATCCAACAATTTACTCAATGCGAAAAAAAAGCATATTTATATATCTAATAGTCTATTCAGATAATAAATATTATTACTCATTCAATTATTTTACGTATAAATAATAAATAACTAATATTAAAAGAAAACTTAAAAAAGGCCCCAAGCTTATAAATTTATAATAAAATTGCTTAAGGAGAAAAAGAAAAATAGAAAAAAAATCATGGTTATCAAAATCGCATACGTTCTTACGATCTTACGTATAAAAACGAATCGGATCGTATTTTTGATAAGATTGCATTTAAGATCGTAAGATCGTATGTAGGACTGTAGGATCAGGATCCGATCCGATCATATACCTTCCTTGATTTTTATTTATTTTGCAAATGAATTTTAGTTTACCATTTCACATCTTTTACCCGTTTACCGATTTATCATTTATCATTTTGTGTTGTGACTTATAATTTTTTGAAGTTTTTATAACTTTTAAACAAAAAAGTGAATATTTGAAATATTTTTCATGTTTTAAAATTATAAATTAAAATTATGTTACATTTTGTGGGATCTTAGGATCCCGACTCCGATCTTACAAGCTAAAAAACAATCATACGTAAGATTTTGATCTTAACAACCTTGAAAAAACCCTAACCAACGAAAGGCATTTTAAGATGGTTTAGTGAGAAAAAAAAAAGTATTTATGTCTTATTGTATGAGAATGAATGGGCGTATGATAGTGACCTACTAACCTCTATGCGTTTAGCTGTCTCTCTTTTCATTCTTTAATATTCATGAACCCACCACTCATATTATATATCTTGTGAAGTAGTTACACAATATCAGTACATTTATGTTTCTTTCCCTAAAAACTTTTTTTTTCCTGTGAAAGATATCGTCTAATTAGGAGAAAGAAAAACTATATATCAAAATTAAAGTTACAAATATCAAATAATGATTATAAATAAACAAAAAAAAATGGTAAAGTTAAATTAAAACAACAAAAAGAGGTTGTAAAATTATTAACATGTATTTATTAGTTGATCAAACATACATTTTCTGATACAAGCTAGAAAATGTGAAACTTTATTTGTGTTTCGTTTAATTTGATTTTCAGTATTCTCTTATATCTAAAGAAAAAAAATACAAAAATATAGAGAATACGCTCTTTTCTAGATTAATTGCAATTACTAAGTATTTTTCTAATGGTTGGATAATGAATTTGGCGACCAATCATTTTGTATGACCGACACCTTTTCTACAAAGAATATATGTGAAGTGATTGGGAAGTTGGGTTTTAATTTATTGTATAACAACTAGATATATGATATATGATATATGATCAAATATTAAATCATTTATCAAGATACTTGTTTATTTTTATTTTTAGTTTTCATTTTTTTAAATTTGTTTTACAACCAAGGGTGGAAAGTTTAGAAAACTATTACGAGTTATGAGAATATAGTATGAGTGAATGAGTTTCTAAGCATCACCTTTGTTGAAAGTAAATATTGTATTTGTTAGAACATAAAATAAATACTAAAATGTATTATTGGGAGGACTTTTTCTTTAATGACAAAGACTTTATAAAGCTAGATGTTAGAAAAAGAAAACAACAATTATATAAATGTAATAACAATATTAGGACTCTAAACCAACCTGATTCATATTACATTTGTATTAATAATCGAAAAATAAGATCAAGAAACAATGTTATCAAACAAAGTTGTTTTCTTCTACTTGACCGATCCAAACATCGTGTTGTTATGAAAGTTCCAAAAAACCTAGAAAGTTGTAATAATGACTCCAACTGAACACCTTTAAATTAGAAGAATCTCCCTTCGAGAAACACTATGTTACCATAGTAACAGGATGGGTATCCACCCATCGCCTCCTAATTTATCGCAAAATGGTAGATGTTATTGCCATATTCAATCATATATTTTAAGGTAATTATCTTAATATTTGGAGCTTAAATGATATAACTAAAGACAAAAGATACTTAAAATGTTGTAAATTGGATAATTACAGATAAATTCATGGCTGGAACAAAAAGAAAAGATATTACGCAAGGCCCAGGAGGTGTGATCGCCAAACCAGATTAGCGAGACTGTCGGGTCAAGTTTCAGTTAAGCCCAGGTGGCATGAGGACTTTGTGATGAACAAGTAATAAGTTAGGATATTATGGTATTTGAATGTTAGTAGGATAAGATTTACTTATTTGAATTTGGTTTTGGATTGTGTTTGTTAGCTTTTGGTATTTAATGAATGGCTCATACAAGTTATAGTTGGTTTGACTTAGTTATCATTTTCTTCTTTTTGTTTATGTTGGAGTTAGCACTCACGTGAA